CTGATGAATATTTGCTTTTATTTTAGAACAAAATCTTGGCGTGCTGGTGTTAGCATCATCCTTGGCTGACATGGAAAGTAAGAAGGGGAAAAGATGTTTAGATCAAATGGGTTTCATGCCTAGACTTAAACTATTTTTTTGAAAAATTTTTTTTGTAAAATCATTTGAATGTGTATTTCTTCATGTACTAACTTTATATTCTTAAGTAAAATAGTTTTACCTTAAAGAATATTTCAGTGTATTTCAGGATGTCTGCGTATATACTTTATTTTTCCGAGATGTATATATACTTGTTTGTATTTTTGTCTCTCTTTAAATTCTCATTTCCTTTTCTTCGATCTCCTGTTGAGTTCGTAGGTGTTCAGACTGGTTTGATCCCTATCTAGCTGAATTCCTGGGACCAGATGAAATTTAGGTCTCCTATTCCTCCACCATCTTGCTCCTCCCCCTAAAGTCTCATTTCCTAATACCATTTTGCTTCTAATCTGTTTGAGGTACCAAAATCTAACTTTTTATTTTCACACTTGTCCCAAATTTACTTTTTCCTATAATAAACACTCCCCACTGAAAATAACACCTTTCTTCAGTAGTTTTGTCTAAATTTGTATTCATTTAATAGCAACTCAGCTATCACAAGAGGCCAGACACGACTGTATATACAGCAACTAGACAGAACGTACTACATTTGAACCCTTGCACTAAGCAGTCAGCTATATGATTGACATGTTTTCAAGTGGTGTCTTTTTCTGTACATACTTATGCTTACAACTTTCCAGTGTTTGAGATAGAATATGGATAACCCTAACCTCCTACCTCCCCACATTTTGCTCTTTTGTACCTCCCCACCATCCTGAAAGTACTTGTTGCCTTTAATACTTTTCCTGTTTTCATTCACAGGGTAAAACAAACTGATAGTCTATTGTTTCAGTATCCCCAATATAAAAATAAATAGTTGCACTAAAACAATTCAATACAGAATTTACAGAATTGTCCTTAACTCATTTAGGTAAATGGGAAGTAACTCCTGAAGTGGGAGGTATGTATTGTGGATTTGGTTTTTTATTTGATCTTTAGGAATAGATCAGATCACACACCTGTCTAAAAGATCTTAGGATCTCTGTGCCTTGTGCATGAATAGCCCTTAGGCTCCCAGTAAATGTTTAAACTTAATCGAATGATTATTTTACTTCCTCAAAAGTAAAGAGCTAAATGATCCAAGGTTCTCTCTTAAATTTGTTGTGCTTGTAATTCAGTTTCTTCAAGTTTTCTAACACAAAGAAATGATTTGTGATTTTAAAAATATACGTTAAAAGATTCGCAATTGTCTAAATATACGTCCTTGAAAGTCCTGTTAAAGCTGTCTTGTTATTTATGGTTTTTTAATCAGTTAAATAAATGTTTGGGGCGCCTGGGTGGCTCAGTCGTTAAGCATCTGCCTTCGGCTCAGGTCATGATCCCAGTGTCCTGGGATCGAGTCCCACATCGGGCTCCTTGCTCGGCAGGAAGCCTGCTTCTCCCTCTCCCACTCCCCCTGCTTGTGTTCCTGCTCTCGCTATCTCTCTCTCTGTCAAATAAATAAATAAAAATCTTTAAAAATAAAAAATTAAAAAAAATAAAATAAAATAAATGTTTGTGGGGTTTTTTTTCTCCTTTACCTACACATGTTTTAAATTTAGTTGTACCCAGAGTGTTAAATTTTCACTATTTGTATTTCATGCTCTTATTATTCTAGTTAATTTCATTATTTTGCCAGGAGGTACTGGGTTTTAAGCAATGTCAAAATGTCAACTTCAGAACCAAGTTTTAAAGTGTTTTATCCCTCCTGCCTGGTTCCCTAGTTTGAAGGTTTTTTGTGCTTTGTTTTATTTCTCTTATAAATTTAAAGGATTCAAAAAGAGTTTGTTAAATTGGGTTGTAGAAGTGAATTTTCATCAAGTGGCTTTAACTTATGTGACTGTGCTTACAGCAAATTATTTTAAGCTTTAAAGACACTTTTCTTACAGGAAATTATTTTTATGAATATGCTTTGAGCAAATTATTTTAAGCTGTAAAGACACTTTTCTTTCCTTGGCACTAGTAGAACTGGACCCCTTCTGGATCCTATTCTAAATAGGGATGTTCGGTATAAGTAGTACATTCCTCAGGGGGCATGGTTTAGTCTTATTTGTTGTGACCATAAACTATGGCATAGTGTTTTCAGTTGAATGTGTGATCCTAGCTGCTGTTAAAGTAGTTGCTATAGTAAACATTGAAAATTCTTTTAGCATTTGATATTTATACCCTGAATATTACAAGGACAACATAGGCAATAATCATAACTCCATCTTAATACATTGTTCAATAGATGTCTGAACTTTCCAAAGTTTCCAAAACTATTTGGTTAAGAGAGTAAGTAGTATTATATAGTTCTTTTGCAGATGGCAAAATATAAAGGGTGTGATAATAGCAAAAAAAAAAAAAAGAGTGAAAATTGTTTTGTGAAGAAGCCAAGGAACGTTTTGAGTATAAATGGACACTGTAGTTTGTGTTTTCATCTTAGTATTATGGAATAACTGGCTTTTACTTAAAATTCACACCATTAAGTCTTCAGTAGAAGGAAGATCGTAAAGAAAAGGGTTTCCTATTTCCCTTCTTTTATTCATAGGATTCAATGATTATAAGTATGAAATCCTTCAGAGTAATTTTAGTACATTTCATGGATTAAATTATTCATAAATTATATTTTAGATAAAGAATAAAATTATCTAAACTAGGTATCTAAAACTAGAGAGAATGTGTATAAGTTCCTTAATGAAGTTAATGGACCTATAAATTGAGCAGTAGTTTGTTACACTAGAATAGAAATATTCAGTATAAGGTCACAAAATGTCTTGAGTTTTGAAAGAGTAATTTTAAATTCCATAACCTGAGTTATCCTTGCTGTTGTCTAAGAGCCATTAATAGGAATACCAGTCACTCATCTTAAGTTTGCATGTCTTCCTGCAAGTAGCTTGTGTGCTTTGTTTTATCCTTTATTCAATGACTGCCCTGCTAGTATGTTTTCTTCTTTGTGACGGTGCTGGTTGCAGTTTCCTTTTATTGAGGTCACAGTTGTCAAGAGTAGGCTAAGCACACAATATGCTTTGTAGATTGTGGTGATGGGAAGGCGTCCTTGAATTTCTAGATCAGCACTGTCCAATACAACTTTCTGTGATGTTGGAAATATTCTCTATTTGTATTGCCTCAATAATGGTAGCCACTAGGCAGGTACTTAGCACTTGCATGTGGTTCATGAATCTGATAAACTGAATTTTTAATTTAATTTAAATTAATTTAAGTTTAAATAGCCACATATGGCTAGTGGCTACCATGTTGGACAGCACAGTTCTAGATGACCAGGTTTAATGATCATTTGTTCTCACAGGTCATATATAATTTTTGCATGTGTGAGCTCTCACAAGTAACCTTTTTCACATTTAAAGGAATTTTCATTATATCTCAGTAAAACTGGAGAGGAAAAAAAAAGAAAAGGAAAGAAATACTAGCTCACGGGGTCAAGTCCGATTTGGAGCCAAAGCCCCAAAGCCTAATTTTTAGTTGCCTAACTTTAGAATGTCACTGTAGTGTATGAGCTGGAAAATAAAATATGTAAGTAAGTGTCCTGTAATTTGTGACTTCTACTTCTTACTGGCAGAAGCTTGCCGAATGGGTGCAATAACTGTGCTTGTCATTCCTGCAATAAAAGAAAACAGTGCCTACACAGAAACACTATGCCTTCTGGAGGTAGTGCGTACATTCCTAATCATAATAGATTCATTACATAAAGAATGTTCACTGGTGCGGTCTGGGGAAGGGATAAAAAATGTAAATATTAAAAAGCATACTTTGTTTATTAAAATCAATATTCACATTGGTGGAAATGTATATTGCTAAGCAGAATAATGATTTGAGAATTAGTAACTACGCTTTTAAAATGTCCAGAAAGTTTGCAACAGGGAACTGAAATCTGAATACAACATTCTTGGATTTGTAATCCTTTTTATACTGAATGGAAAAAAAGTGTTTGGAAAGAATGCTGTTGTACTAAGTTGTTTTGTCTTTATTCATATTTGGTATGAAAATACCCTTTGTCATAGTCAAGACCATTCCTAGAATATTTAGATCACAGTATTTAGATCACTAGGAAACAATTGTTTTAAATTCAGATAAAAAGAATCATTTTGCATTTTGTTTTAGAAACTGAAATCAGTCAATTAGAATGGTTTTATAAAATTTTACATAATTCTAATAAGCCATTGTGATTTTGTCATTGTTGTGTATTTGGTTTTAGTTTGTACTTTATTGCTTTTGGATTAAGCTATGGGTTTCTGTACTTGTCATCTTGCTGATACTTGCTTCCTAATGTTGAGGGGACCTGTGCTGGGGCGTAGAGTTGACCACAGTTTGATGGGAGCAGACTACCTTACTGTTAAGATATATCCATGCTGTCTTGAATTAAACATTTAAAAAGCTGCCAAAGTTGTGGCACAGGGCAGTGTGGGATAAACGACTGCCTTACTCCTCAGCTTCAAAAATGAAGTATTATCATTGCTTGCTTGTACTGTCCTCTTGAGAGTGAGAAAGTAATGCCCCATTCCTGTTAGTTGGAACTAACAAATACTGTACATTTGGGTTGACTTAAAGGGGGGGAATATAGGGTTATGGGACTTAAACTGAGGCTTTTAGAAAAAGATTTAAAGCAACAGAGATATTAAAATAGGGAATTGAGATTGAAGAGTAGATAGTGAGGCCAGATACAGTAAGAGCATTTTTAAAGAAACAGTTCTCTTTAAATAAATGACACGTACGTTTTGTGTATTCCTTTGTACGATAGATGAACAGCATCTGTGTGGAAACTGTTCGGCTCAACTAGACAAGTTCCCTTTACCTTTGAGGGTGGGAAGTCAGGGGAGAGGCAGGCTCCGCTGCTATTTCCGTCTGTGACCTAGGCTCCGATTTGACCTAAGTCTGTCTTGATGCAGCGGCACAGGCCAGCGAGGAGACTGTGTCATTCCGCCGTGAACGCAGCACATTTAGGCGCCAGGCAGTGCGGCGCCGGCACAATGCCGGGAGTAACCCTACCCCTCCCGCATTGCTCATCGGATCACCCCTAAGGTATGGTATTTTAAAATTCCACCAAGCTTAGCATGCATGTAACACTCCTTCTGACCTGTTCTGTCAGTCCCAAGAAAGCATTCAGATAGCTTGTTCTCTTCCCTCCGGTTTCTCTCCTGTAGTTGTAAGTTCTTGGAGCTTTCTCTGCATGTCACCATGAGCCTGTTGCATTATGCATGCCTTATGTTGCGCTATTCCAACAAAATGATCAGATTGGTTTAGCCGATTTCAAATAGCAAAATTACTTTAGAGGCCTTAAGTCAGCTTTTCATTTTTTTTCCTACTCCAAATTAATATTAATGCAGCATCTTTTCCCCGGCGTCTTTAATAGGAATGATTTCCTATTATTATAATAGGAATTTAATTTAATAGGAATAAATATGGATTGAGCAGTGAGCTTGTTGAGGAACACAGATAACTGGCCTCAGCTTGATAAGCCAGCTTGATTATTTTATTTCACTAAAATAGGTATTTTGTATTGCTTAAAAATTGGTGTCCTTTATTTCATAATCACTAGGACCTGGTAAATGACACGGAACTAAAATATTCCATTTATGGTAAAGTATGGTCAAGTGGGTATATATGTATATATTTGCATATATCTGTGTTGAATTTCTCAACTTCTGTATAGCACTGAAGAAAAACATTTTTACTTTCCCCAATACTCCTAATTAAGAAAGCATCTATTTATAATATTGGGAGTAGTTTTCCATTAAAATTTTAGTGTTTTGTTCTCAAGTGTGTCCTATGAGACAAAAGATTTGTCCTTTATTTTACAAATACAAATACGGACAGAATGTTTTACGTGTGCTTGCTTGAGCAGAGCATATATTACACCATATACTTTTATTAATCTCTGTGTTGAAAAACACCATTACCAAATTATTTTCCTGCAGTTTAATTTGAAATTCAAAAGGAAGAGCATTTGATGACATAACTGCTGTTGAATGCACAATAGATTAGAAGAGCCAGACCCCTTCCCTTGGTAAAATCTTGTTCTTGAGAGTAACAAAATGTTTACTTTTATATTCCCCTGGGATTTAAGACTTGCTTATTTTTCTGCATTTTACATTACAATCAGGAACTTCATCTTTTGTAGGTCATGTTCCTAATTAATCCTGCAGTAATACATAGTTCTGTAAAAAGTAGTGTGGATTAGTTAAACCAACATTTAAAATATAAAAATGGGAAGGCACCAGTTAGAAAAACATTTGGTCTAGATTTCTGAGCACTGTTGCTTTTTGTGAACCCTCCTCTTCTACATGCCCTTCACCTCTTTTTCCTTTGCTCCTTGAAATAATTTTTCCGTCTGCAGCTGGATTGGGGGATCTAGTCCCAACCTGCAGAAAGAGCTCAGCATTTCAATTTACTTTTTGTTTTGTTTTTTTTCTAACCGCTTCATTTTGCCCCTTGAATAATACTTGGCCATAGACATATTTGCTTTCTTACTCCATATTGATATTTCTTAATCCTTTTTTTAACTTTCTCCTTTTAGTCTTTACAAATCTTTTCATTCTTTGCCACAAATGACCCTGCTAGATCCCACTCTCACCAAACAAATGCAGACATACTACTTTTTTTCTTTGCCTGGTGGAATATTAAAGAACTAACTCTAGCCAATTATGTAGAATTTTAATACATCACCAGTCAACTGAGGATATGGTATGAAGCTTATTTGTAAAGGGCTCACGTTAGAAGTTTTCTAAAGCAGTCTAGTAGTCAGCATGTAGATTTTATTATGGTTCCAGGATATTTCCAGTATAAAGTTTGCATGTATCTTAAATAGGCTGACTTCATCATGGATGAAATAAGATAAAATTTAGCTTAGAGGAATTAGGAGAAACACCAATTTGATAAAATCTTTTTTTAATTGCAAAAAAATTCAGGTAGAGAATGTTGGTGTTAATTCTCAGTTTGAGTTACATAATAATCTCATGTTTAAATATGGATGGCATGATCATGGAAGAGTTGGAAAACTTATTTGTCAAAAGGAAATGGAATAGGAGTGATAATAATTTAATTACAGTTATGTAAATACCAGTAAAATGTACTTATTTTAAACTTTAATGAATAGTTTATTTGACAATCAAAAGCAACTTGGTAAAATATATGTCTCTAAGGGTTGTGAGTGAATCATAAATTTCTTCACAAAGGGAATTTGCAAATCTTTTTTTATAATTGTTAGAATGTCCTATTTCAGAATTAGTTTTAAAGGCGTTTTTTTCATTAAGTTAGCCTTGTACGTAGGTTTTATAGGCCCTTGCCAGTTCTTCTCAGTTACTAGAGATGAAAGCAGAGATTAATATTTAAAAATTTTATAAAACTAAGAGTTCCATATTTATGTTTTTATCAACCCAAATATGGTATCTTTTAGTACTCTAGTTAATGGACTGGAATGAAAAGAAATTAGTACATTTTGGGGAAGGGAAAAAAGCTTTATTGTGTTCCTATGTTTATTTTTTTAAGTATTATAAGATTGAAAGATCTGTAATCAAATAAGGTCATAGTAGTTACAACAGTCCATGGTTAGAAATTCATAGGGATCATTTTGTGGTGCTCAGGAATAAATCCACCAAGTATTTGTTGTTTGTGTACTGTGTTTAAAACAATCTTTTGAGTGTTCTCTGAAATCTGGAGATTCATAAGAATAATGCAATCATACTCTTAGGGTTTATTTCTTAGTTGTGGAGACACATACAAAAACAACAATATAAGACAGAGTGTGCCAAATACTAAATAAGTAGTACAGAGGAAGGAAAGACCAAGACCAGCTATATTTTTTCTGCTGTTTAAATTGGAAATGTTAATTAGTAAGATTGCATGTCAGTGATGCTATTGATAGCCAATAATTAGACCTAAATTTCTACCTTTCCTTTTGCTATGTTGTAAAATAGTTTCTACCTTTTCTCAAACTGGTAGTTTTGATAGATAATTGGTACTTTGAAAAATATTAGTTCCTGCCAATTATTAGTTAGGTAAAGTACAACCCACCAGGAGTAGTTTTCCTGCCAACTTCTGCAAAAATGACATGCTTTTTTGTTGAAGGATTCTGAAAACAGGAATTGAAGGGACATAACATTTATGACTAGTTTTGATGTTCAAAACTTGACGGCCAGATAGATTTTCACTTGTTTCCTTGGCTTCTCTTATTCTGGAATTGATTTCCATGCATTGCCTGATATTTTAAAAACCTTTTTGTGTATTTAGATATGTTGAGGATTACTGTATTCTCAAATGTGTTCATATTAAAATACATCTAACTGTCATATAGCATCTTTTTTACTTTAAGTGAAAACAAAAAAGGATAGAAAAATTTGTTGAGTACTTATTGTATAAAATTCTTAATGTCTTCCAAATCAGAAGGGACCTAGTACTTGAACTACTTAAACATTTTATTTGTTAGAATTTTCCCCTTTGTGAAATTTGGTCATTTTTGTAAGGTTTGTGGATAACTTTAGATAGATTTTGAGGAAGAGTAACAGACTTACTATGTATATATGGAAGATACAACCATATTTGATTATATTAGTTCCCAAGATCATCCCTTGATTTATGTTGATTGTACAGAGATTCTACTCCAAGGAAGTTATTAAATGAATACTTTCATAGTTATGACTTAAAAAAATAATGCAAGTAAGCATCGACAAGTCAACATTATGTAGACTTGGTTTTTTTCGTGTGTTCTGTACATTCCTCTGCTCTACTTAGAGTGTATACTTTTCTTTGGCTCTAAAAGAAGCCTGAAATGTGAATGTTCCAGGTAGTGATGGGTACTAGAACGTTCTGTGGTGGTGGAAATATCTAATTCACACTGTCCAGTGTGGTGGGCACTTGTTACTAGCTGCTCTCTGGTAGCTTTTAGCTATGGTAGCCGCTTGCTACTTTATGTGGCTGTTGAGCACTTGTAATGTGCTTAGTGGGACTGAGGAACTCAAATTTGAGTTGAGGTGGTCACATGTGGTTACCATATCAGACAGTGCAATTCCAGAGTGGATTCTATTGCTATAACCACAGGCTTAAGCAACATAAGCAATATTTTCTACTTAGTCTTTTATTACATGGTTACTTCAAATTACTGCTCTTTTCATAGCCTGTGCAGATGAGTTTGTTTTATAGGCATCAGAGAAGCCAATGCATTGAATTCAAAACATTATAAAGAAGTTGATACTCAAGAAAATGATGAAGTAACTGAATGAGGCCATCTTAAGCAGCATTTTCTTTTTTTTTTTCCTAAAAGGTCTAATAACAGAATGCAGAGTTACTTTGAGTATCATGTAGAGAATGACATATAATAATTATACTGAAAATATTTCTATGAGTTTCATCACTTTAAATTTGAGTTTTATACTAAGAACATTAAAATTCATAGTATTTTAAAATAAACATCTAAAATATAAAATGAGTTAAGAATATAATACTTTCTTAATTATAGATTTTTAGATATTTAGATGATTTTTTATAAATTTAATAAATGACAAACTTCTAATAAAATACCAAGTATTTTAAAAATCTGTAAGATTTAAAAAAGACTGTAATATCCCTTGAGAAATTACTGGTTTCCAAATTACTTTTAAGATTTTCTAAAATGATGGGTCCTTGTTAATGAAAATGAAATGGATTGGAGAAGGCAGTAACATGTATATAGAGCCTGTGGCCTTCTTTAAAAAATATGTAGGCGTTTCATAGAAAAATACTTTATAAATTAATCACACTTCCAGCATCCCAGCATCATTTGTATTTCACTTGGTTGAGTCAGTGTTTGTTACTCTGTTTCTCTTACATTTGTTTGTGATTTTCTTTTGATTCAAAATTGTCACCTTGGTTGCATTTGATAAATATTCTTTGGTTTTCAAGTGCATAAAAACTTTGTTTTATTGTGAATTTGAGATGCCGGAATGTTTGAAAGCACAATTCTAGAATTATTATAAAGGTTATAAATAAAAGTGCATATTTAAACTGAACAAGAGGATTTATCTGTTGGGGACGAGCTGCAACCCACATATGTTTAATGTGTTTGTGTTTCTTTGCTGCTTTCTTTGTCCTTGTACTAGAATTTTGTTGGCTTGCAGTGGGAAAAAGTCACAGGTGGATTAGCTTAGATATACATTAAATGTTTGCTGTGTTCATCACTATGTTCTAAGGACCAGAAGATTTAAGACAGCATTATAATCTGTATATTTTACAAAGTTTGTTAGCTCTTTCTTAGGTTACACTGAAAAAATCAGGTTACATTTCGAAATCAGTTTTCTATGTTGACTTCATTCTAGCTATTGTTTTTTCTTTTCTTCCCTGTAATGTCTCCCCAATCCATCTTTTTTCCTAGCCTTCAAGATGGTCAGCAAGGCCAGCAGTCCACAGCCCAGGTCAAAGTCCAGTCCCGCCCCCCTTCCCAGGCTGCAGTGCTCAGTGCTAGTGCGTCCTTGCTGGTGAGAAATGGGAGTATCCACTTAGAAGCCTCACATGACAATGCATCTGCTGTAGGCGGCAGCAGTTTGCACGATGAACTTGGTACGCAGGCCTTATGTAATCTTGGTGGTAACAAAACTGTAACGCAGCAGATAATGGGTAACAATGATTGCTCTTCTTTTGTGAGATAGCTTCATTTGGAACTATGCATAAGAGCACTTTTTATAGGATATGTCCAGTGTGTGAGGAAAATTTGACTTGCTTTCCCATTCTCTGTTTTTCTCTCAACATTTATTCTGCATTTTTTTTAGCATGTCTATTACTGATAGGTAGTTAAAAGTATTAATAAATGTTCATGCTTTAGCGTTCTCTTATAGTGATTCGGGCAATTCTGTTATTCCTTGGCACTTATACCATGAGGGGAAGTGTTGATGTTTTAAAAGTTATTTTGATTAAACCTTAATTTCTTTGAATTCACTGAATGTGCTTCATGAAAAGCATAAATACTTTCTAATGGTGTATTACTACAGAATCTTTCTTCTGGGTATTCTAGATTTCACTTCAATGTCTGTCACCTGAAATAGACTTACTATAACCCTCAATGCAGTACTCTGAGGGTGCCATGGCGCTAAACTAATATCAATAACTTCATCAAATTTTTTCTTTTTCCTTTTAATACATCTATAAAAGTTATTAATGCCCACTCAGATACCTGTTTTGTACCTTAAAGACAGTATTTATTACTGCTTTGGTCTTCTGTTTCTCTGCATAATCCATCTTTCTTGTGTTCAGAATGCAGATTCATAGCAATTTAATACAATGAAGAAAATTTTATTAAAAAACACACAGTTGAAAGCATTCCATTTGCTCACCGTGATTTTGTTAATCCATGTTTATAACTGTTTAATTTATAAAGATGATAATCCACTTGACACTTTGGCTAGAAGGATGTGTGGTGTAAGGTTCCCAGTTTCATGTGCTATTTGTTGACTCTTCCCATTTTGTAAAAATCTTTATTAGTTCCAGAGAGTTAACAAGTATTAAATATGCATATTGATGACAATAATTATCTTTAGCAAATCTTAGAGAAACTTGAAAATGGTCACTAAGATATTTATAACATTAGCATATATAGTGATTTCAAAATAAAAGAAGACAATAAAACATTTAAATTTTAGAGTGCTTTTGTGTTTGCGTTTGTAATTTGAAAAAGCAAGGGAGTTTATTAGGAGGGTCCTCAGTTTAGTTACTTGCTTTGAGTTAAAATATTGATACTTTTTTTAGTTGCAAATATATTCAATTAATGTCTTTCTATCACTATTTCTCTCATAACCCTCATAGTCTTTTTGTCAGTTTGTGCATATAAAATTACAGTGACCATCACCATTGCCCATTGGGTCTGTGGTAGCGGATTTGCTAAAATAAAATTATGGCTTAATTTTTATCTGTTTTGGATTTTTAGACTTCTGTCAAATGGAGCATAAAATGATGCAGTAGATGATTTTCCTCTATAAAAAACTAATTTACTTGAAAAACTTGCTAAGAGAACCTTCATTGTAAAATCCCATCTTCAATCCACTTGCAGATTATTGAAAATATGTACATATGAACTCTCTACACAGTTCTGAAGATGAAGTCTGGAGGTGACTTTAGCATCTGTGGGTGAATATTCAGGATGTTGTCTTGAAATATGGATTTTTTTCTTACCTGCCTTCTGGTAGCTAGTTATTGACCTGTGGTAGCTGGATGCTGCCAAATTGAATGTACTGTGATAATGAGCAACCGTGGACAGTGTATACCTGTACCATAACAAATGAAGTTGGCCAAAAAAGATCCTGAAAATGGGCTGCAGTTGAACTTAAAGGAATTGTAGAGACACTGATTTTTATAATTTTATAATATATTCCACTAGAATATTTTTGTTGCATGGTTTAATTTCTACATGATTATAATTGACAGTGGTAAGATAATTTTGGGTAAATGAATTTGGGTACTCAGATGTTAAAGTTAGTCATGATATTGGGGCGCCTGGGTGGCTCAGTTGGTTAAGCATCTGCCTTCTGCTCAGGTCATGTTCCCGGAGTCCTGGGATGGAGCCCCGCATCAGGCTCCCTGCTCAGTGGGGAGTCTGCTTCGCCTTCTGCCCCTCACCCCGCTCATGCTCTCTCTCGCTCATTCTCTTTCTCAAATAAATAAATAAAATCTTAATAAAGTTAGTCATGATATTTCCTAAAAGTATGGAATATTTAGAAAGAATTGTTTCTAAATTTAGCTTCTTCAATGAAAATTTTTTAAATGTACAAATCTATACATGTGAAAATGTATATATATATATATACATAATACATTTATATAAAATACTCAAACATATATATATACACACTCATACATATGTATGTTTGAGTGTATATAAGTGTTTGCATCTGTACACATATATAGATTATAATTGGTTGTTTAAGCAGAGGTATAACTTTTTTGGATTAAAGGAAACTTGCAACCAGGCACTGTTTAATTCTTAAGCCTAGGTAGTTTTCTTAACTGTTTTCTACATCTTTACTTTGTGGTGTCATACTAGATAACCACATCCATTTCCTATATTAAACCCTGAGAAACCTTATTTCTCTGTTGAATTTTAACTAGCATTTCAAGGTTACCAGGTAACATTAGACATGGTAGAAAAATTCACTGAAGATGCTGTTTTATGGATTTTATTAGTAGCTTTTTCAGCTGAAGAAAATATTTTCATCATACATACTCAGCAGGCATAATTGTTAATAATTAATTTTAAAAAACTGAGTTATAAGTATATAAGTTAGAACCTGGTTGGAAAAATTTGGGTGATTTTCTTATTTATAGACTTCACTTCCGTGCAAAAAAAAAAAAAGGTTCAAATGATGTAAGTGATAGATAAGTTTTGAAGTTAACATCTTTAAAAAGGCAGTTACTATCTAAGAATTTCTCAAGTCTTTCAGTGTAACATATTTTTTTTTAACCACATCTTAAAGGTTAATTTCCTTTTCAGTAGTCTTTTAGTGGACTCAATTTGTTTGCAGTTGATTTCCTACTATATTCTGAATTAAATCGCAGTTATACTTAATAAAACAAGCTGTGCTTAGGTGCCCAGATGAGTCACACGGGAGACTGAATCCAGGTAGCCTTAAAGTTCTATCTTAGATATATTAGGCTTTTTCTATAAAACTTGGCAATCACTTCTCAGTTTTTATGTTAATCTCAGCTTCCTCTTGTAAATTAAGACTAATAAATTGATGTCATGCCTGTATAGTTGATAATTAAACTCTTAGTATGTAGCTCATCTCAGAGGAAATGTTCTAGATAAGGTCTGGTAAAGCAGGAAAACTTACGTGTGTTTTTTTTCTGTGTATGAAATTGGTGGTCAGTGGTGAGGAAAGGCTTTGAAAAAGTATATATAAAATTACATAAAATTTTCATGTAAAAGATAAACTGTTATAGATAAGAAATGAGGACAAGTTTATATCTGTTCAAAATATAAAATATGTAAATATCATAGATGGTATTCCTCTGATGAATTTAAGACTTTCTTAATTTCATTAATGCATTAGAGGTTTAAAAAGTGATGTGTGAATTGATTTTTTTCTAAGGTTTTCTTTTGTTTCATTGCTATGCAAGGATTGACAAAGAAGGTATTCTTTGAGATAATCTGCTTTACTACAGAACTTATTAACTCGAAAATGTGGTCAGCTCTAGAAAAAGTCTTAAATCGGGCAGTACCCTATTGCCCTTTTTATTAAGCGGTTTATAACAGCTCTGCATTATTAAGCAGAAATATGATTTGGAGGCTTTTAAATTTTTTACTTTAAGGAGCAGGGGCTTAGATACTTTCAGATTTTTATTAGAGTTAGTCTTGGTATTTAAAAAGGTTATATATATTATGTACTATTCTTAGCATTTTGTGCTACATTATAGGCACTTCCTTGTTACTATAAATACAGAGTTAAGAGGGTATAAGGGATCTGAGTCTATACTTCACTGCCCTATGTTATGGCAGATCATTTTTATTCATCTAAACAAAAAGTTAGATTCTTTTTGCAGCAACTTTGATCTTGTCCTTTATTCTTTATTGTTATTTTTGAATACATAAAAATACTGAATTCTATTTTATTTGGGGCGGAGTGCAACACAAAGTATATACAAATGAAAGTAAATGTTTATTTCTATTGAAGCAGTAAACATCTTTTGTTATAGCTGAAAGGAAATATTAATGGATTTGGGGATATATTCTTTTGATAAAATTAGGATGTGCTTTTCTCATTCTTATAACAAATACAAATTTAGAAATACTCAAAAATATAATGAAAAGTAAGTCATCTGTAATTTCATCACTTAAAGATATTCACTATTGAAATTTTATGAATTTTCCTTCCTGTCTTTTTTAATGCATACATTTATGTACTTTTCTGAAACGGAATTGGGATCATGATGTGTGACTTTTGTGCTTCCATATGAGCTTTTGTATCTTGCTTTTTTCACTTAGCACGTGTGTTATTTACTCATGTTATTAATTGTTCTTTAACTTGTTTGTAGGTGATGGCATATTATTTTATCTCTTAAATCTCCATGAAAGGCAGTATAGCATAAAAGACTCTAGAGTCAGACTTCATGGCTTCTAATCCACGCTCTGCTACTTACTAGCTGTGTTACCTTGGTCAAGTTATTTTCTCTCCCTGTTTATGTTTCCTCATTTATCAAAGGCTCAGTAATAATAATACTTACAGGTTTATAGTGAGGATTATTATATCTATTAAAATATGCAAAGCAATTAGAATAATTGCTGGCAATAATAAGTCAATTACGTAAATAATAATTGCTATTAATGTTAATCATTGTTATTAACATTATTTAATCATAATTTATTTAACCAGTTAACCCCATTGTTAGTCTTCAAGATGATTCCTGATATTTCCTATTGTAGTAAACACTCTGCTGAACATCCTTTACATAAACCTTTCAGTACAGCTGTGGTTATTTCCTTAGGATAAATATTTTGAAGGGAATCATCCAGGGGAATAAACATTTTTGGGGCTCTGACATATACTGTCAATTGCTTTATGGAAGCTTGTCCC